AACGGCAAAGCCCATATGCATGTAAATTCAGAAGAATGGGAAATACATGGTCACAGATTCAATGATTCTAGAAAATATCCCAATGAGCAGAAATATGGAAAGGCATATTTTTCATAACTAAGTTTTATATATTTAGGTAGTTTTAGAACTTTCCACTGCACTACTATACTACATCCTGAACAGTTTTAAAACATTGGCAAAGTCTGATGTGTATAATTTTGCTGGAAAAGTGAGTGGGCAAAATGTATATATAAAAAGAAGCAACATGACAGGATCATGCACTACACTGGTGTGTTTATTTCTACAGGAAAGAATGCCCGAGTGTGTATGACATGACACCAATGCCATGCACAGGTCCTAGGAACTGTGAGAGATCTGGAACTTTCTAAGACTCAATCACAGTGTTAGGCCAAGCATGAAATCTGCATCTTTTGCCTCTTAGTTCAATTCTCCAATGACGAGAGTGAAAGAGTAATTAGAATATGTTGATTTCTCTTTAACCTGGTTGGCCATTTTCCCTAACAGCACAATTACCCTGCTAATGAGATTAAATTTGGTTTAACTAGAGGACTGTTTCACTGCAGAGCCCCCTGCTGACTCTGGTTCCCATGGGATCCATCACTCTGTGGATGTACCCATCTGACATTCATCTGCCCTAATGAAAGCCAGACATGAGAATAGGGCCTTTACAGCAGTGAAAAACCCAAGGGCTTTTGTTTATATTGAAAAAGAGACTCATTTAGTCAATCTCAATCTTCCTAATACCCAGTGAAATATTTATTAATGAGTACCAGCACAGCAAGCCAAAAGTCTTATTTGCATTAATTTAAACCATAAATAATTGAAGGTAGATTTCATTCCTTAAGTCATGGTTTCAGAAAAATCCTCAACAGCATGCTGAATAAAAGAGACCATTAACAAGATAAAATGTATTAAAAGTTGAGGGTGGTAGATGTTTTGCCTACTCTTAGATTACATGGTTTCTCAATAATATAAATTCTTCATCCTATTATGCTCACCTAGGTAGAGGTGACAGAATGAGACATAAGTTTTTCTTACTTCTAGAGGTCAGGATTATAGAAAACATATCTGCACTATTCATCAAGTTGGACCAAGAACTGGCTCTGAGTAGATTTGTGTATCCCTTTATTCACCGATTCACCAAACATTTAGTGAGTTTACTACATGTCAAGCACCACTAGATAGTAAGAATGAGAAATGGACAAAACATACAACCTGTTTTTAAGGAGCCCAGGCTAAAGCAATGCTGAATCCAAATCACAATTCACACCCTATTAGTGGTCATGAATTAAAATTAAAGTGATGCAACCAGCATGGGTGTGGGGGAGTTGAGGGGGAGATACAGGCAGAAAGGACTAGCAGAACCGGAAATATCAAAGTGTATTACGTGTGTTTATGCTAAATTGTTTTGTGTAACTTTTATGTGTGTATATATATACATATAATATACATATATAATATATATATATATGTTTTATATATACACAAGAGTCTGCTAGATCCTGATATAAAAAAATAATTCTTATTATGGGTTATGGTGGAGGGAAAAAGTACTAAAGCCACTGACCCAGGGAGAAATGAACTTAAGAATTATACTCTAGACAGGCTAAGAGCCCTAATGGTACATACCACTCTCTAATTTGTTTACATACTTTATCCCCCTCCTAGACTCTAGGTTCTTTGAGGGCAGGATATTGGTTAGATTTATGACTGTATTCCCCTCAGCGTCCAGCATAGTGTGTTGGCAGATGCTCAATGCAAACTTCCTGCATAAAGTGAGGAAGTAAAAATTAAGCCTATGTGAAAATGGCCATGATGCAAACCAGCTAACTTAGGGCTATGTTCACCTGAGCATATGTGAAGAAAATGTATACAGTGGTCCCCCCTTGTTTGTGGTTTCATTTTCTGTGGTTTCAGTTACCCACGGTCAACCTCAGTGCAAAAATAGAAAATGGAAAATTTCAGAAATAAACAACACATAAGTCTCAAACTGCATGCCATTCTGAGTAGTGTGATGAAATCTCACCCTGTCCCACTCCATCCCCCTGGGATGTGAATCCTCCCTTTGTCCAGCATGTCCACACTGTAGACACTACCCACCTGTTAGTCACTTAGCAGCTGGCAAGGTTATCAGATCAGCTATGGTGGCAGCACAGTGCTTGTGTTCAAGTAACCTTTCTTTGACTTAATTATGGCTTCCAAACGAAAGGGCGGTGATGCTGGCATATTGTTTTAATTGTTCTATTACTAGTTACTGTTATCTCTTATTGTGCCTAATTTATAAATTAAGCATTATCATAGGCACCTATGTACAGGAAAAAACATAGTGTATATAGGATTGTGTATCATCTGTGGTCAGACATCCACTGGGGATCTTGGAACATATCCTCTGATGATAAGGGGAGACTACTGTATTCATTTGCTGTTGGCCAGTGTTTACAATCATTTTATGCTTGCATTTTCTCTACCTGTGATAATTAGAGCCAACTTCATTTGTGAAAGCTCTAATTAATTCACATTGCTGAGCAGAGTCTTTACCTTCGGGAGGTATTCAGAAATAACAGACAATATTGCTGCTAAGACAAATTGTGCCTCTTATTACCTGGGTATACAGTGGCTAGGAAGAAGGGAGTAGGCCTACTGATGATTCATAAAGAGCAAATACACGCTACTCAACCAACAACAGAACATAAACATGGGGAGATGCTAGTGAACAATGACTAGCTCACAGCCAAAAAGAACACCATTTCCCAATACAGCTTTCCACGTTCCTCGTCTCATCGCTCCCCTTGGAAATTAGCGCAGGAATAAACAGCACTGTGAAGACAGCAATAACACGTGTAGGAGAGCCACCTTCATGCTCGCTAATCACCTGACCCCACATGCCAGGCCTTCATCATCTGCCCTCACCATGTTAAAGTACCTGGTGGGCATTTGTCATGCAGGTCACCTGGCCAGGTGCCATGTAGCAATTCTTTTATTCATCTGGAGAAAAAATGGGCTTGATAACTTCAACCACAAGGCTGAGCTATTCTATTCCCCAAGATAATTTATGTAAGTTAAAACACTAGAAGGGAACAAAAGCATGAGATCAGCTTAAAAATTTTATATCTTGCTTTCAGACCTGAGAAGTTAAGCATGCTTGACACTTTGTAGTATTGTTATTAGAGAATAGAAGAAGATGCCTATCTGTTAGGTCCTCACACTGGGGGGAAAAGTTATAATTAGATGTCAACACTGTCAGCTACTTGGGTCATCTCAACTTTGAAAGCAATGACCAGGGGATCTCCATGAAATGTTTTCATGAACAGACTTCTTTTTGACTATTGTTCCTAAGACTGTGAGAACTTTTGAAACAAAAGAAAGAAAATCTTATCATCAGAGGACTTGAAAAATTCAGTGCAGAAATATTACTTAATAATTTGACTATTACTTAATACTGTCTTATGAGGACAAAAAAGAGACACTATCAAAAAAAATTTTATTCTTAGAGCTGTGAATCTTTCATTCACAGCATCATAAAGAGAACCAACGTGATTATTTCAGATCTTGATAGAGAAGCAAGACTCCCTTTCTTTTTGGTCAATTAATTCTCTAGGAGAAGATGCTGTTATAGAAATGCAGAAAGAATCAGAATAGATGGAAACTGGATCATCTAAGGATATATTCATTTTCAAATACACAAGCAATATATAAATCTACCTATCTAACTTAAATGTGATTTTAAAAAAATCCAAAAGAGATGACAAATAGACAATAATCATCATCATAATATTTGAAATTTGTTTTCAGAATTTGAGTCATTTTCATATTTATTATCTAATTTAATGCCACCAACATCATATAGTGCTATGGAGGGACTCTTACCTGGGCAAGTTATATGTTTGACTGTAAGTATAAATTTAGAGAGGGAGAAAAGAAGATAGGATGGATGAATGGCTGGGTGGCTGGATGAATGGATGGAAAAGTACATTCTAAAAAGCCATACGGCTAGTGGATTCACTAAGTTCTTGATATTTAACCTCTTCCTTTGAATGTGCATCATCTCCTTTAAATTGCTTTAACGAGATCAAGTAAGATGAAAAGGCAAAAAAAATCATCTCCAGATGAGTCCTATCTCTATGACTGTCTACAATTCTAGTCTATACCCTCTTCTCCTAGGTTATTCTGTCTCTGGGCTGGTCTTTTCCATGCCTATTTCACTACTCACCCTACATTTCACCACCAGATTAATTTGCATTAAAGATCTCTTTCACACTGATATTCCATTTCTCAAAAACTTTCAGTGGCTTCTACTTCTATCACATGAATCTCAAATTCTCTCTCTGGTTTTCACGGCCCTCCCATGATCTGGCCCCATTACTTTCCCATATTTCTACAGGATGCTTGTTTGCTTAGTATTTCTTGAGAATGCAAAATTATTTTTGCTCTGGACCTTTCGCTTATACTCTTCTACTCATTCAGAACACACCCCATTTCAGTGAGGTTTCAGAATGCCCACAGTTAATATATATAAAATCAAAATCTCAGCATGGGCTGAGAGAGGAAGGGCTATGTAATAAATATAATGAGGCATTCAGCCTGCCATTCCAATCAAGGAGAATATGTCCCAGGATAAGTAAGACAGAGAGACCCAAACCCAGATCCTCAATCAGACTCAGCTCCTGTCTGCCTTTATTGTGACTGTGTTATCTAGCATTTTAAAATATGTATTTTTTATGCAATATAATGCATCTATTCACAAGGTGAATACTTCTTTTGGAGATTAACCAAAAGGGGGGTTAAAAAAAAAAAAACAACTGGAGGAAAACCTAGCTGTACTGTATTTACCATGTTGAGAGACAGTAGTTCATCTCTGACTTGCTAAGCAATTTTTATGGGAAATCATGATGACATCCAATTTTCACCCTAGGTACAGGAGTAGGTCCTAACACCTACATATGACTGGAACTCTATGACACGGTCTGCCTCAACTTTACCTGTCTTTCAAAAGCTCAGCTTCGGGCTTATTGTCTCCAGCATACATTAAGCTCTCTCTTCCCTAGCTCTCATAGTGCAAGGGATGCAATTATGTGTTTATATTTCTCACTGTTCTCTGTTTTTTCTCATATAATTATCTATCCCCAATTATATTTTCATTTCTTTGAGTACAGGGATTGTGGGTTTTTTTTGTTGTTTTTTTGTTTTGTTTTGTTTTTATATTTCCCATGGTTCCTAACACAGTGTGCCATTCATATTAAGAACTCAATAGTATGATGTTTTGGCAACATGGTGTATAGCAGACAGCATGGGGTTGAGGTCAGACACGCCTGGGTTGGAATCTCAGCTCTCCCAGGTACTTAACTATGAAATCTCCTTGACTACCCAAGCTCCTAGTCTACAAGATGGGGAAATAATATTACTTTGCAGGGTTACTGCAAGGTTGGCAGTGAAGTATATATTGTAATAGTGCCTCACATTCACCTAGTGTATATAAGCACAGCGCCTGAAATATAGTAGCACTTGTTATATGGCAATACTTCTAATAATTCCTTTGTTCATTTATTTGTATATGTGCCAATCAAATTAATGATAGGATATTTGTATCATAAAAGTGATGTTACCACAGAGTCAGTCTCTTAAAGTAGGAATTCCCTCAAAGTTTTTAATGACTCATTTTACAATGATGAAGATCTTACTAACAATATTATATGTTTATATATTGGCTATAGTTCACAACACCTTTCAATGCATATTATCAGTATTCCATAACTTGCAAATAAGGAATGTTGAGGATTATTATCAGGCAAAGGAACCTGGCAGCACCTGGTTTCCTGGCGGTAACACTAACAAAAATACTCACAAATGTACTTTGGCCTTTGAAAGTGCTGGTCCCTCTGCCTAGCTGCTGTTCCTCCAGACAGTCATCCAACTCACTCTCTCACTTCAGTTGTGTGTGTGCAAATGTCACCTTCCTAACATCATTCTGTCTCCTTTCATTACCTTCTTTATCTTCACAGAACTTGTTGGTTACCTTCCATCTGCCTCACTGCAATGTATGTCCCATGAGGACTGTAGTGGATTGAATTATGTACCCCCAAAACTCACTGAAGCTTGAATTGTGTCCCCCAAGTTTTATGTATTAGAAACTTAGCCCTACTGTGATTGTTAAAAGGGTGGGAAAAACTATTATGGCAATTGTTGGGAAAATAGAATAGTTTGGTCAGGGCCCTCATGTCGGGTCCAGTTGGGTACGGTTTTAGCACATCCTTTGTAAGCAAATTGTGTGTGTGTGTGAGTGTGTGTGTGTGGAGTTAGTGCATATGTGCACCAATGTATTTTTTTAGTTTTGTTGCTATTCTTGTGTTCTTCAGAGAGAGAGAGAGAGAGANGAGAGAGAGAGAGAGAGAGAGAGAGAGAGAGAGAAAGAGAGAGAGAGATGAGAGAGAGAGAAGAGAGAGTTTTAGTGAAGCAGGCAGGTGGGCGTCTGTCTCAGGCATCCACCTGGTGCAGCCATGCTTTCCAACCTACAGCTTCCAAGGACCTTTTTGCCGGTTACCTAGCTCATAGACCTGCATGAAAGGGTCTGGTGACCCAGCCTGGCATGTGAGGGGTCTGGTGACCCAGCCTGGCATATGATGGGTTTGTGACCCAGTCTGTGAATGGGCTTGAGGGGTCTGGGAGCTCCAGCCCCAGCCCTAGCTCAACCATCAGCTCAGTCGGCAGGATTACTGGCAGGTAAAAGAGCCCAACAACTAATGAGGTCGCCTAGCTTTACAACTGGCGTCATGAACAGAATTAAGAGTGCTACAATTGGCAATGTTGACAGGATTCCAGGCATTAGCAGTAGTGCCACAGTAATCAAAAGGTGGAGCCTTGAAGAGGTGATTAGATTGTAGGACCGTGCTGTAGTGAATGGATTAAAAATGGTGGTCAGGGGTGTGGTTCTGAGGGCTTTAAAAGAAAAGGAGAGTCTCTCTCTCTCTCTCTCTCTGCTTCTACCATCTTGCAGTGTGAGACCCCTGTGTCGCTGTTGCCACCACCAGATAGACTTCGGACTTCTCAGCATCAGAAACTGTAAGCAATAAATTTCGTTTTGTTTATAAATCACCCAGTTCAGTGTATTTTGTTATAAGCAACAAAAACGGACTAATACAAGGACAGAGACTTCGAACTCACAGCTGTATACCTAGAACCTAGGGAAGTGCCTAGAACACTGCAGGTGATATTTCAATACTTGCCAAATAAATAGAAACTTGCTGGACTCCTGTCTAGTTCTCTCTATGACCTCCAAGGACTGGAGACTCCAGAAATCATATTGAGCAGGTTTATGACTCTTGCTGAACCGATTAGCGAATGAATGAAGACAATGTCTTTACTACTTTTTCCCCATCAGATCCATCCAGCCATAGTTGTTTAGAGAAGAATAAAGCTCAGAATCCATTTCTGGTTCCAAACCCTCATAGTTAGCCCATCCCATGTTTTTCCTGACCTCCAGTCATACCGGAAGTAAAATTAGAATCTGTGAAAGTAAGTGCTTATGCAACACTCCTCTAGACCTTGTCATCTTTCTTTAACGCCTCATTAAGATTGTTGTTTGATGATCACACCTGAAAAGTTAGAAAAGAGTACAAGTCTAATGACAATACTTGGGTAGACTAGCTTCAATATTTTTTGAATTATCATCTTTGCACATTCTTGCATGTGCAAATCCTGCAGCTCTCAATTTGGCCCCCTGTAAAAAGTAACATATGCTCACAATAAATCTTTAAAATGGCTCTATTAATAGAGTGGCTGTGGTGACAGTTTTATAAATGGGCCCATCTTTATGCAAACTGTGTTTTATTAGATTGCATTATAATGATTTGTAATAAGAATACAGAGATGAATTCTGAGAGAAGAAACTCCAAACGTTCCTAAGCCAGTCAGAGGTTTGAAAGTCCATGCATTCTGTTTGTTGGGCTGTGCATTCCGGGAACAACAGACATCATCAGATTAGTTTTGCTACAGTTGTATGCTTCTCTGCCTGTTTTTTTCCCAATCAGATAACACCAGTCTAATAACTGGCTTTGTGTCTGTCAATCCAATTACTTCCTATTTGGGATGTGCTGATACTCCATTAAATCCGGCAGACAGATGGCAGGGTCTTTCATTACTCTCCGAATGAATAATTAGCTTCCCAGGCACATAGCTGGGGAAGGAGCCATTCTATGAAGTCAGGTGCCTTCCAAATAAAACCAAAAACATAGATAACTAAAAATAATCTTGTTAACCCAATGTTATGTCAGTGCCACGCCTGTAATAGGCAAAGCCATCTAGTTAATCCTTCTGAACAGAGGAACCTTTCTAGGCAGACTTTATCAGGAGGAGTGTCCCTCTGGCCATATTCCCACTAGAGGAACCCTTTTCCCCATATATCTGATTGGTATCCACCCCAGGAAAAACACAGCCTCAGTCTGGGGTCCAAATGACATCACCTTGGGAAGGCAAAACAGTTCTTCCATCTTACCTGATCTCATTACAAAATTAAAAGAGAACAACACTGACTGAAATAAGCCACCTATGGAGAAAGTTAGGTAGAATTTAACCCAAAACTTTTAAGGCTAGATGACTGTATGTCTATAGTAAATTAAAGTGCAATCATAAGAATTTTAATAACGTTACCTTACAATTGTAAATCTTCATATTATGCTTAAATATAATTAGGAAAAAAGAATTAAAAGGAAGCCATCATGTCTTCCATATTCCCCACTCTATCTACCATTAACAATCAGCATTTAACAGGTGTTTCACAAACTTTCTGTGAATAAACTTAAGGATGTTTCAAAGTTGTTAAGAACAATGATGATAATTTTTAAGAAGAAAGATGTGATAAAGCAGGTGAGATTAATGCCCCCCAATACAGCTAGAGTTTACTCCTAAGAACTATGGTGGTTGATAGAAACACTTTTCTATCCTCCTTGAGTAGCTTTGTCACAGATGTCTCACTACATGGTCAATTTCTAATTAGTTATTTGGCATTTCATGTCTTCCATGGGAATGAAAAAGGCAAATTAATGTGGAGATAGCATGATGTATGGAATGAATATGGCCTGGGTCTGAAAAGGCCTAGATTCTGACCTCGCTGCACATTTGTAACTGTGTAACCTGGGCCTCAGTTTACTCACTCAATCCTCTAAGTACAGCCTCACATTCGATGGTTTAATATGGGATGCTGGCGTGATTTGGCCTTTTTCTCAGCTTTCCTAGTTGCTAAGAGTAATTCCCTCAGGCCCTTAAAGGGATCTGAAACATCACTGCTATCTCATTATGAATATTCATTCCCAAAGGCCACAAAAACTAATAAATTCCCAGCTTCAGGGAACAGAGGGTCAACATACAGCACTAAAAGCAGGGAGACATTAGTGTGCTGAACCACTAAAGTAGACGACTTTATAGCCCTTTGATGAGGATTATACTTTCATGGTTGTGGTTAGAGGGAAAAAGGGACCCATTAACCATCATTCTCTCTTTTCTAAGTGTCTTCATTCCTTATTTATTGAGGGTAATAGTTATAGTCAACAATGGTTATATATGAACTTGCTTGTGGGATACCTAATTTTTTTAAGAAGGTTCTTTGAATACATAGTCTCTTCAACTTAATATTTAGGAAAGCATGCAAAATAAGTAGTTTATTTGAAAAACAGTGATTAGACGGGGAAATGCTCACTCATTGGGGCCAAAGTGTGCTGCTACTGAAGAGAAAGTGAACAGTGGCAGTTGGCTGTGACACATAGAGGCCATTATCTGCAGCCTGGACAGCTTCCAAGGAAACTAATATAACGATTGAAGGAACATCTGGGCTGAAAGAATTGAAACCTGAATGAATTGAATTGAAAGTAGTGATCTCAGGTGCTAAGGGACAGAATAGGCTAGTAACTAAAGTTCAAAATCGGGAAAAAAGGTAATTTAATTTCAAGATTTCAGAAACCCTGAAAACTAAGGAAGAACTCCAAATGTAGAAGAAGTAGGTTCTGCCCCTGGGCTCACTGAGTAAGCCACGCAGCT